TAGCTGGACTTTGTGGATCTGATGCATTGCCTATTTTTGTCACTTTTACTATTATTTAATTCAGAGAATCATAGAATCGACCTGGTTGGAAAGGACTTCTGAGATCACCAAGTCCAACCCTTGAGTTTCTGCCTAGACTAAGAAATTTAAAGAAGCTTGATGTTTCACACCAAAAGTTTTGGTGAGATTCTTTTTTTAATGGTTTTGTTTTGTTTTTTTAAACTTTTTAACTTCATGTTAGAACAGAGACAACCCTTTCAAGTTTTATCATGAAATGGATTTGGTGGTCTCAGTTTGATCTGTATTATTCAGGTGATTAAACTTTAAAAGGACTATTGGATTTTTTTGGTACTCTTCTGTTTCTGTTTTTGATTCTTTTTGTACATACTTTATTCCTGACTCTAAGACCTTGCATCACTGTTCTAATCAGGTTTTCCCCTCTTATGGCTTGTAGACAGTTTTTGATGCAATAAAAAAGCATGTGAAGTTAAGAGTGAAGAAGCTGTTTGTAGTGTGGGGAGGTTTCCCCCTATTCTCCTCAAAAAGAATATAAGTAACATTAAAAAAACCCTAACAAACCTATAATTGGATTTATTAAGCTAGAAATGGCTTATCTGGACACCAGGGTGCACGTCAGTTTTACCTTCAGCTTGGAAGATTTTGAGGTTTAATACTATTCTGAGGTCTCTTAGGAATACATATGCTGTGTGTTTGGACCAACTACCAAAAGGCAAATACATATTTTTGGCATTTTACTTCTACTACCTTGAAAAGCAAAAATCTATCGCCCTTGTGTCCTCAGGTGCTGGGATTTTTTGTTCATTTGTTTGTTTATGCTGAGGGGGGTTGTTTATTTGTTTTTCTTTCCCATTTTCCAGAAGAAATCAAAGAAAGCAGCACTAAAAAACCCTTCTCTCTCTCCCTCTGCCTTCTCTGTATGTAGTTGTATGCAATTATTTCTACATATTTGCATGTGAACACTGTATACTTTTATATCCAAATCTTGTATTTTGTTTACTTGTCTTTTCTTGGCTCTGTTAATTTTTTTGCTTCTTTAATTGTAATTTTAATCAGTTTTCTCATTTAGGCCGTTTCGATTCTGCCATGTTCTCTTCTTTGTATTCTGTTTTTATTTTCTTCTGTGTTTTAGTGTATTTGTGTCACTTCCAAAACAATGTTCCTTAAATGTTTGTCCTTTCATCTATTCTAGGTTTTCTCTGAGTTTCTCAACTTCCATTTTTACCTGTTTTCCTTCTGTCTTATACATTACTGGCCTTTTTGTGTAGAATTTTAAAAAACAAGTAGTGAATTATAAGGTGATCCTGTGCTGACTTCCTTTCTACATCATCTTCACAGATCACAGAATAAACTAGATTGGAAAAGATCTCTGAGATCATTGAATCCAACCTCTGACCTATCATCACCTTGTCAACTAGAGCATGGCACTAAGTGCCACATCCAGTCTTTTCTTAAACACCTCCAGGGACAGTGGCTCCATCTCCTTCCTGGGCAGCCCATTCCAGTGACCAACCGCTCTTTTTGTGGAGAACTTTTTCCTAATGTCCAACCTAAACTTCCCCTGGTGCAGCTTAAGAATGTTTCCTCTTGTCCTGTCACTAGTTGCCTAGTTGACCAACCCCCTAGTTGACCAACCCCCACCTGGCTACAACCTCCTTTCAGGTAGTTGTAGAGTGATAAGGTCTCCCCTGAACTTCCTCCTCTCCAGGCTAAACAACCCCAGCTCCCTCAGCCTCTTCTCACAGAATTTGTGCTCCAGACCCTTCAACAGTCTCATTGTCTTTCTCTGGACACGCTCCAGCACCTCAATATCCTTCCTAAATTGAGGGGCCCAGAACTGGACATAGTACTTGAGGTGCAGCCTCACCAGTGCTGAGTACAGGGGAAGAATCACTTCCCTGGTCCTGCTGGCCACACTGTTCCTGATCCAGGCCAGGATGCCATTGACCTTCTTGGCCACCTGGGCACACTGCTGGCTCATGTTCAGCTTCCTGTCAATCCAAACTCCCAGTCCCTTTCTGCCTGGCTGCTCTCCAGCCACTCTGTGCCCAGCCTGTAGCGCTGCAGGGGGTTGTTGTGACCAAAGTGTGGCCTGGCACTTGGTCTTGTTGAACCTCATTCCATTGGATTCGGCCCATCTATCCAGCCTGTCCAGGTCCCTCTGCAGCCTTCTACTACATCTTCTACTTTGACATCTTGGTATCATGTCTTGTTTCTTCCCCTTCAGAGTTGCCTTCTCTCCCTGGTGCTTGCTGCTTTTGTTCTTTTGTTTATGTAAGTGGCTACTCTTTGCCATCCATAGTCAACAATAAGATCTCTTTCTGACATCAGGTGTCTTCTCACACCCGAATATGAACTGCTGTGTCCTATTGTATCTTAATTATCAGTTATTTTGTCAGTATATGAAATTCACTTATCCCTTTATTTTGTTCCTGTGCTCCCTGTGAAGTAATTTGTTCCTGCTCATTGAGTTAGAACTTACCCTTTCATTTTTGTTTATTCCCCTTTATAAAGTATTAATGCAACTACAAAAATGGCCTCAAGTTCCACCAGGGGAGCTTTGGATTCACAAGAACAGACTACTCCAGGAGGTAGTGGGGTCATCATCCCTGAGAGCGTTCAAAAATGTGTGGATATGGCACTCGAGGACATGACTTGGCAAAGAACATGGCAGTGGCAGTAGGTTGATGGTTGGACAAAATGATCTTGAAGGTCTTTTCCAAGCTTAATAATTCTATGATTCTACACATATGAACAACACTTCCCAGAAACCTATCACACACTTATAAGAATGCTTTTCACAAGTTGAATTTATTTAGAATATCCTATTCTTTTGTCTTCATTTGAAGAGCAATCTTAGTTTCTGTTATTTGGTATTCAACATAATATTGAAGTTTAACAAAACCTGACGTTCAAAAACAGCCTGTTCTGTGCTGTGAAACTAAATATTACCTATGTAACACTTTCTATTTTTTCCATTCCAGAAGAACAGAAAGAATGGTGTTGTATCTAAACCCTTTAATTTTCTATAAAAATATTCAGTAGGGATGAGTGCTTGATTAAACAGCATAACTTGGCTTGACTTCCATATAACAGACTTTAATGTTGTTTTCTGAGTTATAGCAGTATCTCTGTACAAAGATCGGCCTGTCATCTTGAAAGGAGCAAACTTGGATAAAAATGTCATGTGGTCCCACATAAAGGTAGAGACAAAGCTCCCCTAGTTTTCTGAAAGAGTTTTGAAAATGAAAACACAAAATTTCTGCAAGACCACAAACAGTATTTGTCAGTTTCTTGACTTGACCTGGAATGCGTCTGTTAAAATTTGCATCTTGTGTCACAGCAATTATACATTGACAGTGTTGGTATGTTATGGTTGTGTTTAGGTAGCATGTAGAGAGTTAGAGAAATATTTCTGAACAAAATAGGTTATGAATTCCTTATGAAATCTACATGAAGTGTCTGAAAACAGACACAGAGTCTCCTTGATAATGAAAGAATATTTTGGCCTTGGTTTGTGGAGAAAGGGGAAATGGCTTGGAATATTGAATGACTGAATTAAAATGTTGTCTACATGTACAAAATTGACTTTAAATCCTGTAATGAACATATAAAACTATCCAGAAAATTCTTTCTGTTGTAGCATTGACAAGGAAATTATCTTTATAGATAGACATTTTTATAGACAGGTAACAGTCTTTAGCTTTGCGTTCATTCAATATCAAAATTTGAGATTTTTTTTTTAATTTGGCTTTACTTCCTGTGTCTTGATAGTTGGTTAGAAGCCTTTAAATGTGTGTGTGTGTGATCAGTCACTCATCATCATCAGAGCCCAGCAAAACAGCTCGTCCTTATGGACATTTGAAATAAAGCCAGTCTTAGCTAGGAGATTGCTTGTAAGAATTGCCAACAAATTAGATGAATTTTTAGAGTAGATATGAAGTCTGGTTAAACAAACATTTATTTCTTTTAGCAGCTGATTGATTGATTCCAAACAAAAAAGCTTTACCATCTGGTCCTTAGACAACAGAGCAGAATTACACATTCCTCTTAAAAATTTGATTAAAAAATATTTATACAATTTACCAGGGGTTTTTATGTATATAAACACACCAATATATATAAATGACCAGTTTTACTTCTCTTATGCATAAAATTATTCATATTTAATGCATGTGACTTTATAATAATCATACATTTCCAAAAAAATATAGGCATTGCTAGAAAAGCTTCTATCTACAATGCTTATTATTATGCCTGAGCTATTCATCATAACACAATTTGACAAGCAGTTTTATGACTTGAACTAGAAAGCAGTATTCAAGGAAAAATTGAAACAAAACCCTCTGCTAAATCAATTAAACTTATTCCAGTAAATATTGTGAAATTTCAGACGTTACTGGAACAGAGTATTAGTTACAAGGGTGTGTAATAGAATAATTACAGAGCTGTGTAGAGACAGGTATTACATTAATGAGAAGTTTTACAGTTTTGAAACAATGTTATTCTGAGTGGTAATAAAACATGAAAAATTCTAAAATTTACTGAGAGAGAACTTGTAAGCTTTTTCTCTCGAAAGAAAACTAAAGTATGTTTTATCAATAGAAGTGTCTCCATTTATAATGTAAAACTTAAGCCAGGGTATAAAAAAAGTTACGAACCAAAGTATTTTCAAAAATGGTTTAAATATATATACTCTTGAAAGAATTTGGTTGTTCCTCCCTCCCCCCAAGTTGTCGGAATTCTCTTCCTACTCTGGCTTTCTCCCACATGTCAAAAAATGAAATGATATGCCTTAAGTTTTTAATCATTGCTGCATTTTTTGAAAAGATACTTTGTTTTCACTGAATGTCAGTGACATGACTTTAATCTCAAAGGTATAGTTCTTGATATATAAATAGAGTCAATTTATTATCATTATGGATTTTTTTCCCCAGGATATCAAAATCCTTATTGCTGTGTTTTGTTTTATTTCATTCCAGCTATTCATGAACTCTCTTGTGAAGCATACAAACACTTGGGCAAAACTACAAATTACTACTGGATAGATCCAGATGGTAGTGGGGCACTGGGACCTTTGAAAGTTTACTGCAACATGACAGGTAACTGCATTATATTTGCTAATTCAGTTGGTTGGGGGTTTTGTGTGTGGTTTTTGGTTTGGTTTGGTTTTAATGTAGTTGGAAGAAAGAGTCTATTCATAATTCATATTTCTTGTAAAAAAAACATAATTGCTAAGAGCTTTCCATGAGAGGGATCATCAAATCTGTAGCTATCATTCAGTATGCTCTTAGAAAGGCAGTAGTTAATCCATTTCATAAGCTTTTTGAATTGCAACTATTAATTAGTCTTAATAGGTCTTTGTATCCTCAGTGGTTCATCATTTAAAAAAAATAGATAGATATGGCTATTTACAAAAACTGTTGTATATCAACATATTTGAGTTCAGTAATGTCTGCAGTTAATGAGGTACTGTAGAAGGCAGCTTACCACAAAAACCAAGGAATAGAAATTAATTACAAAAGAAACAAAACATTTGAGTTTTCTTTATTGTCTGTATTTTAAACTAGATTCATCCTTCTAACACCAGTTAAACTCTGGAGATTATATTTATATAACTGCATTAACTTGTTTTGATTTTGTTGTATGTATTGTTTTCTGCTTTTAACACTTGCTTTGCATTCTCACAGAAAGTATCCTGTCTTAGTCATCTGCATTGCCATGCTAAGACAGGAAAATAAGATAATTAAAAAATAAGGGGGAATTTTCTTCAGCGATAGTATATTATTTCTTTGTTCTGTTAATGCATGACAGTTGTCTCAGCACTTCTTCTGATATAAAATATTGAGTAGCTGATACAACATATATCCTCTGTTTTTCCCCAAATGTCTGTATAAAAAGTTTAAATTTCATTTTTTGCACCGGAAATGTGGCATGTGAAGTCTTCGGACTTCAGCATCAGCAACGTGAAGGTGACAACACTATCATAAGTTGAAAGTGTCTCTGGCTTTTTAGAGATCAAAATTGCTGAAGCTGCCACAACTCTTCTGGGGGGGCAGAAACCCGGACACACCTGAGCCTGTGGGGTGGGTTTTATCCAGCTCGGATGGGAGAGACGGGGAGGAATGCATGGCACATGCAGCAGACCCCAGATCAACTGCTTGTAGGTACACAGCCTGTTGGAGACCAGGAGATAATACTGCTGTTTCATGCTGCCATTAATGTATGTATTTGTATAATAAATGCATACCTTAAAATGAACCTAATCTAAGCTCTGGAAGTGCTGTCAATCCTATTTGGACTGGAGAGACTGTTCAACCTGTCAAATCTGTTCTGAGACACAGGTGTAAAGGCAGTCTTTTAGATCCTGAGCCATTTAGAGCTTTTTAAATCATTAAGTAGCACCTTGAATTGTATCAGTAACTAGTCAGGCAGACACTGCATGAAACAATGCCAAGAACTGCTGCTATTTAAGAGATTTCTGCTATTCAGAACTGCTGTGTTCAGTGTGAGCTATAGCTTTTGGTTACTCTTCAAGGGTAGGAATGTAAATTAGAAATATACCACCATAGCGGTGTCAGGGACAGAAAAATACATCCATCCAGTGCTACAGTATTGCTCATTCATGATAAATGTAAATATAGAACAGAAGGTCCTAGTAGCTTATTCAACACTGCGAAATAAAAAGAGATAAGTAAAAGTAATAGTTTCATTTTACTAATGTTTCTGGTGTACAAAAATTTCCAGAGTACATAAATGTGACCTTTACCTAACCAGTGCAAGATCATGAACATTACGATATATGATTTAGTGCTCTTTCCCTTCATTTGCATATGACACATACTGTGGAAAAATACAGTTTTCTGTTTCAAATGAATTGCTCTCATCAGCAACTCTTTGCTATGAGAAAAAGGCGTTTTGCACTAATATCCATGTAACTATTGCAATTTTAAAACTATTTAAAATTATTTCTTCATTACAATGCCAATGACTGCAAGAAATTTGTGAAAAATTACTGGTACAAAATGTTGGAGAGTAAGCTACACTCTCTCTTGACTGTAAACCTTCTTGTGGCAAGTGCAGTATCCCAAAAAAGCCACTGAAATTGTATACTGAGAAATTATGTGTTTAGCCCTTTACTATATTGTATCACAAATATTGAATCACGAATTTCATCAGTTCATCTTTATATCAGCATTTCACCTACAGAGTTTCTAGTCAGAAGGTGTTGGCTTAGCCAAATGTGCCAAAAAAAATATTAAAAAAAAAAAAAGGAGAGAGAGAAAATTATGGTGCAGTAGACATCTGTCTAGGCATATTTCTGGGCATAATACATATCCAACTTTCTTTGAATTCTCACAGTTTCATGATGAGACCTGCCCTTCATAGATGTTGCTGCAGTAACTAAAGATTGTTCTGGTTTTTCTGAGATGTACTGGCAATTCAATAGTGCAGTTAATAGAAATACGTGTATGTGCATGAACAGAGCAGTTCACGGTCTCTACAAACAAGTCTATTCTCAAAGAAATCCCAGAGATCCCCCCTCCAATTCTCATCCTTGTCTTCTCCAAATAAACTCTGTACTCAGTACTGTGTTCTGATAGTGAAGAGGAACCAAGAACTTACATTTTATATCCTCATAGTGGAATGAACATGTTTGAGATATCACATTCAAACTATCTAGTCCTGGTGCAGTAAACCAGCTTTTAAAATCTAGAGCATTGCTGCTGATATTCAGCAGTTTCCCAAAGACTTACCTATAGGAACTACGTAAATTTTACGAAGTTTTGGGGTTTTTTTAATTGCTTTTTTGCTTTTTGTTTAATAAAAAGAAATATTGGAAATGTTTAGAAGTAGAAAGTTTGAACTTTTCAAATTAATACACTTTTGGAAAAAGTATTCCTTGAAGTTGTGATGTGGCATAATTTTTAACCATTAGACTGCTTTTCAATTTAGCCTTTTGTGACTAAATTCAACGGGGAATTCTTTAAAAACTCTGTCATCTTAAGGCTGAGATCTTACCCTCTTTCAGAGGCTAGTCCACAATGCAAAGTTAGACTCTGATTCAAGCAGGTTATTCCAAAGTTGGAAGGTTCCTATCTTAGTATGCAGTCTGACTGTTCCTGTTTTCTCTTTAATTGTCATTGGAGCCATAGCTGCAGTGGAGAGAATTGCTCTTTTAAGGTATTTGTTAGAAGTTGTAAACTTTCAGTATATTACAGCTTCACCACTTGCTCAGTGTGATATTTCTGAATCTCTGAGCCTGATTCAGTTTCCTCTGGCAGATTTAGTTTCAGTCCATTGAGAAAGACACAAAAAATAGTTGATATTACTCCCAGTTTTTTCCGTTTCTCTTTTTTTGTCTGTTTGGTACATGGAGGATGGGGAAAAGGTGTCAAATGAGTACATTTATTCAGATCTCGTGCATTTGTCCTGCAAGAATTTTCAGAGTCGAGAGTGAGGAATAAGCTGAGGGACCATAAGGACTTAGTTATTTATCCTAATGGCTATATGGGATGTCAGTGGGAAAGGCAGATCAGCACTCCTGTGGTTGCTTGAGGCTTTATGCTGAGTATAGGGAAATATTAGCCTGCTGTTTCTTTTGCTTTATCATTTAGAGTACTGATGCAAAGTAGAACTGAAAGGTTTCATATTCTATTTTACCAGAAGGTATGTCAGTTAATTTTTCCTATTGGTCCTGAAGTCTTTATGCCTCTGTGATGTAGCTTTTATCTCTTTTCAGGATCCAAATAGCTACAAGCATAATGCCTCCATTTGAGTGGTACTTACCCTGTCCCCTTTCTAGTACAATTCTTTTGCCTAAAGCTGCTCATCTTCAAACAGTTTGAGAAATCATTATGCATATTCATAGTCTGTCTCATTAAGGTCAAGCGTACAAGGTGTCTTTTCTACCCACTCTCCTCTTTCGTCTCTGCTCTCTCAATTTTTTTTTAACAGAAATGGAATGTGTAATAATTACTGCAATGACTTTCAGAGTAGACATTAAACAACCATAACTGTTGTATCCTGTGATTTCTCTGTCTTCTATCAGTAAATAGTGGGTCACTGGAGTGCTTTGTACTATGACATATGTAGAAACATATGGCATGAATATAAATGTGCCATTCATCACTACAAACCGATGAAAAGTGCTCTAACAGTGGTAAATGTTTAATTCTGTTGCACATATCTGTATAATTAGTTTTTTCAAACGAGACTTCTTGCCTGAGACCTGATTTACTGAACTTCAAAGGTACCAAAACTTTTATTCATACATATATAGAAATAGATGTGAAACAAAATTTTAAGCAATTTAATTCAATAAATAAAAGTAAAGCTCTTTTTAAGTATAGATTCTCTAGTTTGATGGAGGAAGAACTTAATGTTCTTTAGTTGTTAACTTAAATAGCATGAATTTATACACATTTAAAGGCAATAAGCAAAATTTTACCATTGGACAATGCTAAGTTATTGAATGAAAATAAAAATATATAGACCTTACCTAGTCTATTCTTACTGCAGAAAGCTTTCAATACAAATATTTAAGTCCTTTACCTAAAACAGAGGAGGAAAAATTGTTTCATTACTACATATGAAATGAAGGGTTTTTTTCGAACAAGATCTCACAAACTTTTCCATCCACTGTAGAGCTTTGTTTTGGAGGCTTTTTAATAGTCTGCTAGACCTTAATGTACTAAAATTACATTTGAGAGGTAAAAAGAGGAACAAATATTTAAAATGAATTGAGGCTGTTCTTGCAGTGTCCGAGCTTGTTTCCTTGAAGATGAAACGAGTAGGAACAACCACAGAAAAAGAATAAAATGGAAAGGCAAAAGCATCAAGCCATTTAGGACACTGTTTTTGTGCAGTTGACTTATCAAGGTAGACTCTTTGTATAAAGAAAGGAGAGAAAATACTGACAAAGAGGAAAATAATAGTCACTGAAGCATCAGGAGATCATGTCTAGAGGAGCAACTCTGATGGCAGACTTTCTTCCTAAGCTGAGTTCATCCTCCAAGCATCAGAGTAAAATAATAGACCCATGAGAGACCTGGAGACAGAATAGACTATGTTTATATCTTTGCCTGCCAAGTTGGCTGAA